CACCATAACCAGAGAAATTATCCKATATTCCAYTGTAATGGCTACAATAAGTATGTCACTGGAGWAGAAACTGGGCATAGCCTAAGAATTACTGATCATGATCAAATTACATAGCCAGACAGAGATTACTAACATTTATATAAACATACAAGGTACATTGATGCTCCCATTCCTGAGTTTTAAAAATTTCAGAAGCTAAAAAGTGTTATGAACAAAATTTATTGGGAAGAAAAATCTTGGACAGAAAAACATGAAAACAGAAACTTCCCTCAAATGGCTTCTATCTTTGGTCAGGCAATACGACAGCTAGTRAAAAGGAAAATTTTTGTGCAGTTTTGGCTACAGTTCAGCCTGGTTTCTTAAAATCTGATGTTTTTTTTTTAAAAAAAGAAGTTAAAAAATAAGCAGGATTAATACCTCAGAATAAGAGGGGCTGGATCACCATCACTATAAACTACTGTTGCAGAGTGCAGAAACTGAGAGACACAAAACATCCACCCACAACATCCACCCAATGACACCACCAAAGGTGTTAGTAACCACCTCAACAATAGCAGAGGCCCATAACTAGAGAGGTGGCACAAGTGTTAAAAATTGTAAGGAAAGATCAAAAATAGTCAATAAATACTTTCATTCTATAGTTGGAAAGATTCAAAATGGTATAATTGTATCACATTATATTGATTTTCCTTCCAACACATTTGTTAAGCAGATGTTCCAGATCAGATGTTAAAAAACATAGTGAGAAAAACATTTTAAATCAGCATACTTGTCAACCTTATCCCGGAGTCCTACAGTAGTCAACCCAGCAAATCCATGATCTGCTGATGCTCTTTTAAATCTATGTATTTTAAAATCTGTATGTGTCTTTAAATGCTAGGGACTGCCACTATGCAGAGGAGTGAAAACACAGTGTCAAAGGGACAAATCAAGTTTTAAGGCAGTCTGATATGATAGAGAATTCAGATGAGATAACAAGAAAGACAGATGCATCCAAATGTATTCAAACAATAATTGCATGCCTTATTTTTAAATAGTGGCAAAGATGAATCACTGAAACAAGTCATCCAGAAAAGTAAATGGTAGATTCTCAGTATCCTGATACACTTCAAAAAATTTTAAAAAGCAAAAAAAAAATAGCTTAGCCAACCAGAAGTTCAGAAATCAAACCCATTGAGACAAAAACTAATGCTGTAATAGGTTTAAGGTGAAATGTTCATGTTTTAAGATAGATGCTGTTCTTAACACAAGTCAAGTTCAGAAAGCACATGAACTTTTCACATACACAACTAGATTAATTAGTAGTGTGGTAGTAATGGTCTTTAATAAACCTAAAATAACGATTTGCCAGCCCATTAACAAAACAAAAAGCCCTCCAAATTAAATAGTACAGAAGGATAATGTTGGGTTTTTTTAAATAGAACACCATGGTACTGTCTCGTTTCTATTGCATTCAATTCAGTCTCAATGACATTTGATTCTTCCCACTATTTTCAAACGATTTCAAAACAGACTTCAGGTCATGTTATCACCCAGTGCTTTTGGGAAATCTACATCTAACCATTAACAGAGGCAGAATACACATTTCTACTCTGTTTGGTAATTTACCAGCTTTTATCCAAAATGAAGGCTAAATGTTGAGTGTTCATCTCCAAGGTCTGGATGTAGTTACACTAACTGCCCCAGCTTGGCTCTTACTTATTTCAACTGTCACAATACAAATATGGTCACCTGTTTCTCCTCAAGGACTACCACACACATAATCAAATAAAATTTAGAGAAACCATGCTTTCTGCTATTCAACATCATTAAAAAGAGCAGGAATTATCAGATTATAATGGGGGACCTCAAACTGCATAATTTTCAAGTCTTTTTGTGAAAGTAGTTGATCACAGAAATTGCAACATCAGAAAAATAATGACATTTGGGTAAACAATAAAAACCATTCTTAAGTAAAACACAGACCACAGTAACAACCTTCCTAAAATCTGGAAATGATACCAGCTATGCCTTTTGGAGGKAAAAACCAGAGTTTCAGCCTCACTAATGTAACAACCAAACACAGACAAGCAAGTCCTATCATGTTTAACTCCTCCTCTGAAAGMACAACTCACCCAAAGATGTGTGTTTTTATAGGGCACAGACTGAACTGCTTTTGGCCCTTTCCTGGGCCAGAAGAAAAATCACACAAAGCCTACAGCTTATTTACTTCAGAGCAGTGTAGAGCCTAAGTTAAACAGTTTAGATAACATATCACATTTGCACTCAGCAGACATCACTGGCTCCTGATCCAAAATGCTCTTACACGTGCTAATCAACAAAGCCTCCAATGGACTAGGAGCTGATTATCTTAGAAACTGTCTATCCTCCACAATTCTCAGCAACAGCTGTTGTCAATTACAGCAGCATACCTAACAGTTTAAGATAAAACTCCTAAGGATGGAGCGCAAAGTAAACTTGCTAAGACTTCATCAACAGAATTCCTTTCAGGGCAAAGTGTAAACCAGTTCTTTGCACAGCCCTTCCCCAGAGAAAAATGAAGTTGTAATAGCAACAGCAACCTGGAGAGAGCAAAGATGATCTCTACATTAGCATAAATCATAGGCAGGCAAAGAACATGTAACACATTCCCACCAAATCACATTTTTCTTGCACATCAGTACAAGTAACAAAGTCTAAAAGATTCAAGCGCAAATAAAAAAGAACAACCTTCAAGTAAAGCCAACACTCCCAGTTATGTAAAGAGGGAAAGATGTGAGAGCAATGTTTTCACTTACATTTCTCAAAGGTAAGTGCCCTTCTCACAGGTGGCAAGTACTTTCAGAAAACCTCTGAACCAATTCTGCGTGACAACTGTGGTTTTGCTAATATTACAGGTATAACAGAAAAACTGTTTGTAAACATCAAGTCTCCGGCTTTTCTCAGATTTATGAGAAGGTGAAACAAAGCAAAACATGCAAGAATCTCATCAGTTTAATTAATCGTTGAACAAAGCTACCAGTACAAGCCTTACTTACTTGCCTTCCCATCCACAAAGCTGGAGAACAGACTCTGTTTTCATCTCACTAACAAAAGAATGCCATTAATATCTTTTCAAATGTTCAGTTTTCACAGGAGTTTAYCCATATCTGTAGTACCTAATTATGAAGCCATCATAAAATTGGAGGGGGGGGGGGGTGGAATGCAGCATCTTCCCATGCACTCACACAAAATCTAMAAATCTAGTAATTGCTCATGGTCTCATATTTTGGTATGCATTGAAATCCACTATGTATTCACTATGAAATTCACTATGGGTTCACTATGGGTTCACTGCCCATACAGCTCCTGTGGATGGCTCAATGGCAAAGTTGCCAATTTCGCGTAAGAAAATATACAAAAAAGGTTTTGAAATTCACCAGTTTATTTGGAGTAGGCTGTGTTTGTTTACCTGACAGTCTGAACTTATTTCAACATAGTATTAATTTTAACAACTTCAGCAATCGCTACTATTTATATACATCCATATGACTCTTACGGGTACAGTATTTAGGCCAAAGATGGGCCTCATGTGTCAGTTAAAAAAAAAGAAAAAAGAAGTCTGACAACTGGTAATCCCAATTGTGTTAACTCACAGTTGCTACACTAACAAAAAGAAAAAAAAAGGACTGGTTTCAAAACCAGAAATCATTATCACCCAGAAACAAAGCAATTTTCTTATTGCCCAGTCTTAGATCTAACAGTATTTCAACCTTTGAGTTGCAAATGTAACAGTGGATGATGATTTAAAGAGAGATGGGATCTAGGACTAAATTAAATGAATGTTCCATGAACCTCAAATTCTTAAACTTATTTCTAATAACAACAAATAGCCCACATATAATTAGAATGTATTTTGGAATCTTTAGTTTTCACAAAGTAAGTAATACCAGTAAATAGCTGAACTAATGCGTGACAACAGATCTGACAAATAACAACTTCAATGAAGTTTGATTTTAAAAGAGGCTTATGTGGTGCTTTTTTAACCAAGTGTCAGAGCATTGTAAGGGAATGTAAGCAGGATTACTGAGTCAAGTGGAGAATGGATACTGTGGAGCTGASTGGCAGAGCTAGAAGTGTATTCTTTTCTCCAAAATGCCAAAGTATATTTTGTAAATGATTCTTTCACATGTATACCTGTTTCATGAGTATACCACCAAAGCAATGCTATGCAATAATATGATGGAACAACTCTTTCTTAAACACAGACCAGAAAGCCTTCAGGATGTGAAGTACCACAGGGCACGTAGCTAAACTGAACTACTGATGGGTACAGTTCAGCAACCCCACTTCTCAAACAGCTAAAATGTGTTAATTGCAGCCGTTACACAGAAATGCACACTTGTACACCACTTGAACTGCTGAATCCTAAAGAAAAACATGTGTGATAGTTAAACATCTACCACTGATGGCAATGGACAGCTAGCACAGACTGAGTAAGGTAGGTGAGAACAGGGAGGAAGAGAGGCTCTGGGGCAGGAAAACTGGAGGGAAGGCAAGCGGCTTCTAAAAGCTCTTTTTTGAAGGCCTGGGGGGAAAAAACCTAAAATAACCATGAAGACCTTCAACTTCCCTCTTCAACCATCGGAATCACCAACAACAATTCAAAAAAAAAAAACAACAAACCAACCCAGAGGGGGAAACCTTGTGACAAATGTGCCTCCTCCTCCCTCCCTGCTCTCGCCTCCCGGCAGCGAGGCGGTGGCTCCGCACTGCCTGCCGGGGAGCACCTGCCCTCGGCACGCCCCGGGCCGCCGCTCCCGGCGGGACCCCACGGGAGGAGGGCGGCAGAGGCCGAGCAGCAGCGGCGGCGCGGGCAGCGCAGGCCTCGGCGCCCCTCCGGCCCCGCTGCCGCCACTGACGGCCGGGGAAGGGGCTCGGCGGGGCCCGGGGCTCGGGGCGGCGCACTGCGGCTGCGGGGCGGCCGGCGGGGAGGGGGGCAAGCGGGTGAAGGGGAGCAGATGCTCTGGGGCTGGTTTTACCTGCTGCTGCTGCTGCCTGCAGTGGCATGAAGATCTGGCTCAGCCTCTCTCTCTCTCTCTCTCTCTCTCTCCCCCTCCCCGCCTCCCTCCTTCCTTCCCTCCCTCCCTCCCTGCGGCGCGGTGCAGCGCACAGACCCCCGTGCCGGCCCGGCGCCCTGCGAGGGACGCGGGGCAGGGGGAAGCGGTGGGGGAGGCCCGGGGAAGGGAAGGGAAGGGGAAGGGCTCCCTGCCCGCCCGCGGGGACGCGCGGTGGCACCGCCCCGCTCCCGCCGCGCAGGCGCCCGAGCCCGCGTTCGCCCGGCGCCTGCTCGCTGCTCCTGCTCCGTGCTCCCGGTGCCCGCTCCCGGCCTCCTGTGCCCGCCGGGCTGCGGGGCAGCGGGAAGGGTGTGCTTGGGGCTGCCCTCGCCGCACGGCTGGCGCCCGCTCCTCGCCAGCCGCGCTGGGCAGCAGCACAAGGGCGCCGGGGTTGTTTGAAATCGGGAGGGCTTGCGTCTCTGCGGGSCCTTTCGGCCTCTTGAAAGCCCGATCGGAGAGTGTAGTTACCAGTCAAGCAAAGCGTGGTGAGGGGTGGGGGGGAAGGCGCTTGAAATGAAGGGAATTTGCAGTGAGTCCGTAACATCGCTCCTTGGAAGCGGCTGGCCGGGTTCAGAGGGACTGGGAAAACGTCCTGGTGGAAGGACTGGAGTCCGGCTGCAGCTGTGGGCGCTGCCCGCTTGTCAGCCCCCGCAATGGGGTCGCTGAGCACGGCCCCACAACCCGGGAGCAGCTCCCTGGGACAAACGCGACAGTTCCCAAGGCACACTTGGGTCGGGGGCACGCGATTGAGATCAATCAAAAAGATTACTTAAATTTTGGGAAATCCGGTAAACCTGCCGTTTTCATGGCATTGGCTCTGCATTAAAAATCATGAAGGAATGTGRATAGAAGAGCACCAAGTACTGAAGAGTTCATTTTTCTGGCAAAAAGAGCCTGCAAGGAGTTTATTTATGCAAAGGTTTGAAGGTGTCACGAAGCGCATTGTGACGCGGTTGCTTCTTGTGACCATTTTGCAGTTTCTCAATATGTGTAGTGATCCACTAGATATCCAAGCTTTTCATTGGAGACCCCAGTACAAGACAGAAAGAGGAAACTAGAGACATACTACATTATACATGGTAGCTGTAGCAGAAATATTTGAACCTGAATCTTGGAAAAACAACCCTAAAACTGGCATGTTTGACCATTAGAACATGCTTCAAGGTAAAATAGGAAAAAAGATGTTCAATCTGAGATACACCTAAAAATGAAACGCGAACTAAACTTTTTAAGTTTAGTAACAATTGCGTGATGAATGTATGGTATCTAATCTCTGAGAACATTTCTTGTAATTCCCTTGATTCCCAGAAAGGAGCTTTTTTGCTTTTTGGGCAATTTCAGGACAAGATAATCAGCCTATCTACGTGGTTTTGCCAAAGATACTTACAGAGGAAATCTTAACTCCATGTCAGTCTACAGATGTTTTTGATTCCCAGATGTTTGATTAAGAAAAGAGAGACCAAAGTAAGTTCCGGCCTGCTGATGATAGTATTTTACAGCCATACATACATTTACATTTTTTTGCTACATGAGATTGCATAAAGTACAAAGAGCCATTTAAAGTTGAATTTTTGGTACATTTAAAGTTAAAAAGCTCAGGATGAAAACCAAACTAAGACACGAGAATTTCCTTGCRTGTCCATATACCCATTAATATAACATAGATTCATTTTCTGTTTGCAATAAAGATTTTCTGTTTGTCTCTCCTTACATTTGTTTTGTCTTAAAGCAGATCTTGATATTAAAAAAAAAAGGCGAGCATTCAGGCATATAGTTCTAGTAATCCCATGTTTTGAATACCTTGAACAGCTYGGTGATGAAATTAACATTGTGTTTGACCCAGGGCACAGCATTTGATTTAGAAATAGTACAGCATTCTACAGTCAGTCTGTATATATCACCGTGGCCTGTCCACTGTAAGTACATGAAAGTGTCTGTTTTCTGCTTTTACAGTTCAGTGCATTTTAGATAACAACATACGCAAATGAGGCACATGCTTGGGACATGAAATGGCAATGTGAAGAATTATAGCACACTATGCGTGGAAGATCTGGGTGTATAGACAGGGCTTACTAGGTAAAATTTGTTTTGAAAGTATCAAATCCTTTTCTTTATAAGCCTACAGATTTGTGCTACTGTTAAAAAAGGGAAGTGCACCTGCCTTTGGCTCATATTCCCACTCTGTCYTCAAGTCAGGCAATTGCAAGTTGTCTGAATAATACTGGAATAATTATATGGGCATAAGATATCTAATGTGTGTGCTTAGGGGGTTTCTTAAAAGATTTGGCCATCTCAATATCTCAATATGAAAATTTTCCCATGGAAAATAAAACCTGGAGCAAAACCAGTGAAACAACAGCAGAATCTAACAAAAGTAGTTATTCTTGTTTCATTGGCAATCAATTGTTAGGCTAATCATAACACTTAGAATGCCACTTTAAGCAAGAATGGAGGTTCCACCCCAAAATTAAAACATTGTAAGGAAATTAATTACTTTTACCTATGCACCAATAAAAAGAAAAATAAATTCCAATTATTACTAATTTCTGTATATGCAAGATTGTGGAAGGTTAAGGTCAATCTACTTAGTTTATGTTCACAATACATCCTACTGCAGAGTCACAAGTAAAGGTGTGTAAACTTTTTATACATGAAGAGAATAATATTTCTTGTATTAGATGTTGACTGAAATATTCTTGAGGCTATGAATATTTTTAAAATTTTACTTTGCTGTGCATTGCAATAATGAAAAATCTTGGTTTATACTTAGTTAGGTTATTAGTAGCGTTCTTCATTTAAGTAGTCTGGTCTGTAATCTGGCTATGTTTTATACAAGTTCTTCATATCTCACCTATGAGTGGTATCCATAGCAAAAAATGCATATGTTGCTTGCTGGCATTTTAGTTTCCAGTCTTTGGTCAGGGAGAAGGTAGCCCAGCTTTGTTATCRGCTGTAGAATAAAGCCATTGTGTGYATATGAACTAGTTAGCAGGATTTCATATAGTTTGAAAAGGTAGAGTATAGATTTGCCAATCGAATAAATATAAAGCAAAATTTATTGACTTTKTGGCTTAGTTAACTCATGCAAGCAAACAGAATATAAAAAATCCCACAGGCTTTYAGTATATATCTGTGTGAATTGTATACAAAGCATTTTATTGACTGCATATTCATGCATGATTGTGTGCATATACAAATATATATAAATATATATACACACATTAATTGTATTTCAAATTGTTATAGCATTTTGTTTGGATTTYATATTTCATCTGTAATCCAGGAAATTTTGAAAACTCAGGAATCTTAAGAAAATCTCAAGACTGCAGCTTCTCCCATGAGTCAAGTAAGGTTGCACTTCTATGTCAACTGATTTCCCATAGAGAAATTGGGAAATACTTGTGGAGTATTTCTGTCATTTCTAGACCCTATAATGAGATGTATTCTATACACAGCCATTAAAAACAAAGTTGTACTGATTTTAAACTTGGTGAATTTTCTTCCAGTAAGATTCTGTTTGACACCATTGTCAGCYTGCGGTTTCCATTGTAGCTGTTCACTTAATCACTCTCAAGTTGTGCTTTTGTACATTATTTAAAAATACTTACCAATCATAAAGAAAATAATTAATTACAGTTTTTCTTTTGTCATTTTAATTTTCCACCTAAGCTTTCTTATGCACAAAAAAAGTAACCTCCGAGTTATAATATGATTTGGCCACAGATATTTACACCATAACTTAAATGGGTCTTAAATAATTTTAAAATCCTTGGGTTTAGTGGAGTTTAGRTAAGCTCTTTGTGAACGTGTATGTCAAGTGATAGGATTCAGTATCATTCTCCTGCTGTTAATTACACTTGCCAAGTACCTAACACAAAATACTGTGTCTTCTTCCWGTAGAGAGCCAAGCATCTTATGCTTTCTCAGTAAAATGCATAGTTTGACATCCTGATAGTTATGTTAAACACGGAATACATCACATACTTTTGATAAAGAGGCACAACTTARTGTGTCCTGAAAAAAATTTAAGGAATCAAGGAAAGTAGAGTGGGCAAGAGGAATAAAGACTGATGGACTGCTGTTGAAAAGAATAAAAGGCATAATGTAATGCACACTAGCTTAATTAAAATTTGCCATATGTGAGACTTCCTCTGAACATATATAGAGACCAACCTGATCTTGAAACACACAGTGCACCAGCGCAGAGACGTATCAGCATAATCTGATGTACCACGTATCTGTTGGATCAGTGCACAGAGAGATGGAGAAACTGGTTAGAGCAGAGGAAGGCTGTACAYAGATTTAATGGAGAGGGGGAAAAAGAAAATAAACTGCATATCAGAAAAAGTTCCTTCTAAGAACATCTAAAAATAAACCATGATTCCTGTGAATATGAGTAATCAGGGCAAAATTTTGCATGTGGTGCCTTTGGTCCCAGTTCAGGCAAAACCATCCATTGACACTTAAGTTCCATTGATTTCAGTAAAGCTTAAGTGCTTTCCCGAATCAAGGCTAATTAAGTGCATCACATACAAATACTTGTGTGCATAAATTGTTTACAGGATTGGGGCTTTAGGGCTTGTCTAAACAGAGACACTCAGGAAAATTAATCCAAATTAACTAAAGGTATGAATTTAAAGTGGATTAGTTAAACCACATTAAACCCCAGTGTGGACTGGGGTTTAATGTGGTTTAACTAATCCACTTTAAATTCACTGTTTTAATTACTTTGGATTAACTTTCCTGAGTGTCCGTGTTTAAGCAAACCCTTGGTTTATTGAATAAAGTCCCCAAATGAGTCAAAATTAAAGTAGGCCCCAATCTAAATAAATAACAATTCTGAATTGGCAAGGGATGAAATCTTTAATTTTTACATTTCCAGTGACTCTGTACCACCAGTGTRCTGAGGAATAGCAGCAATGAGATCAAGTACCGGTCTGTGAGCATGGCAATGGAACTAAGCCATGAAACTCCAAACTGTGTAGGAAAGGCTGGTTTGAGAAAATATCAGAATAAAAACCCAGATTTTCAAATCAGTCTTGTGTATTTCAGCAATATTAAATTGCAATTAAAAAAAAAAAAAAAAAAAAAAGATCAGATTTATTTCCACTTAAGTTGGCAAGACTGGTGAAGGTACTGTGGCTGCCAATACAGTCTGTGATGGCTAGCAG